TCATTTTATTGTGCTTTGCTTTATTGCGCTCCACCCTTGTTGAATTTTTTTTTTTTTTTTTTTCCTTCTCATGGTTAACCCTATTCTTTGTTTTTCCTTTTGCACTTTTCCCATTTTTCTTCTTCATTCTTCTTCTTCTTTACCTTTTTTTCTCTTATTGCGCTCTCCCCAGATATTGCTTTTTTTTTTCTTCTCTTTTTCCCTTTTTTTCTTTTTTGGTTACTGTTCTTGTGTGATTACACAGTGTGTGTTTTGTCCATTTGCTTTTACTTTTTTCATGGTTATTCAATTGTTATTTTTGTCTTACTAAGTGGAAGATAGCAACAGTTCCCATATGACACAACAACACTCACACTTCCTGCAACTTCACTTACTGAGCTGGTTCTTCACCAACTGGCCAATGATAAACAACCACCAAGAAGAGCCTGACTTACCCTTGGCTGCTCTTCACAAAGAGTTAAAAGAGATCTAAATACAACAACGCCATAATGTCTCAAGACAACAGACCATCACAGTCCACACAAAAAGCAAGATAAAGTGGTAGAAACAAGGGAGCAGGATATAGACCCAGAACACATCCCTGAGGAAGAAGCAGCATTAGAACTCTCCGATAAGGAATTCAAAAGAATTATATTTAGGTATCTTCAAAGAACTGAGAGACAGACCAAGGACACCACAGGAAAAAAAAAAAAAAAAAACCCTAGAAGAATTTTTGAAGAAAATACAAGAATAAAATGACAAAATAAATGAAAAATTAGAAATGATTCTAAATCTGCAGATAGAAATCCAGAAGATTAATACTAAATTGTTAGATATAGATAACACATTGAAAGGGCAAAGGAGTAGAATTGGTGCAATGGAAGACACGATTAATGAGATTGAAGACAAATACCTGAATACTTCTTCGGAAAGGGATCAGTCAGAAAAAAAGATCAAAACAAAATGAAGAAAGCCTAAGGTTCATGTGGGATACCATCAACAGGAATAACCTATGTGTCCCTGGAATTCCAGAATAGGAAGAGAAAAATAAAACCACTAAGAAATATGTCCAAGATTTTTTGGAAGAGAACTTCCCTGATATGGTGAAAGACGAGAATGTATCAATTCAGGAAGTCCAATGAACACCAAATAGGATAGACCCTGAAAGATAATCACCAAGACATATCATGATCAAACTCAATAAAACCAAAGATAAAAAAAAAAAAAGAATCCTGAAAGCAGCACAGGAAAAACAAAAAGTTACTTACAAAGGACAACCAGTAAGAATAAGCTCTGATTTCTCAGCAGAAACCATGCAAGCTAAAGGGAATGTGATGGTATATATAAAACCCTGAAAGAG